TGCCTAGAATATTTTACTCACATTATCTTACTTAACTCTTAACACAATCCTGTGAGATAGATATTACTATTCCCATTGTTAAAATGAGAAAACTGAAGCTAAGAAAGGTTAATAATTTGTTCAAGTGGAAGAAACAGGATTTGAACACATGGCTGTCTAAATCCAGGCTCCCCATTCTTTCCCATGTAGCCTTCTGCACTCGAGAAATGGTGAAACAGAATTGAAGCTACTTATTAGTTCGTAAGGAGAAATGACAGCCACCTTCAACTCTACAAAGGGCTATGAGTGGAAACATTCTGTGTGGCTTGAAAGGGAAGAATTTGAATGGCTTTGGAAGTCTCAGGGATGTCGATTTTTTGCTCAAAGGAAGAATATTTTATTGATGGCAAGAACTGTATGGGCTCTTGGGTAGGAACATCAATTCCTTGTGCTTGCAGGTGTCAAGCATGGTCTAGAAAGGCATTAGCTTACAATGGGGAGGAGATTTGGGTGGAGAACCTCAAAGTTCATCTTTGATCCTTACATTCATGAGCCTATGAAGCTGCCTGGCAGAAAGAGATCAATCTCTTCAAAAGAAGTGAAAATATCTATTGGTTTGTCTATTTGAGGATATATAAGCAAAAATTATATGCCCGAGGTAAACACATTGGTCCATGAGAAAACTAAACATGGAAAATGAAATGGATTCTGCTGGAACTGCTTAAAGGTTTTAAAGAAGTTTTCTTTTTCTATACAGAAGTAGACAAACTCTGGAGTGATATGCAGTCTTGGCTATAAAGAAAATACAAGAAGGTGCTATTTTTCACCTATTAAGTTGGCAAAATAATTTAAAAAGCTGTCACACCCATTATATGTATCAAGAGTGATGAAATGTCATTCCTTTTGACCCAGGTACAGCCACTCTCAGAAAACAAAGGAAAATACAAAGAGAAAACACTGTGAAACAGAAAAATCTTCATCTGCGTTTAATTTATAGAGTCTAAAAATCCAAGGTAGTGTAAATGGGCCACTTGTGTGGCAGTGGGGAGGGGCTGAGGTGGGAGAGGGGAGCAGGAAGCCGAGGAGTGAGCTAGTCAGCATGCACAGGGGAAAGCCCCCATGCACTGAGAACCATGGGATAAGCAGAAGATGTCCAGAGAGCCAAAAGTGGGTATGAAAGCCAAGGTCACTGCATACGGGGTCTGCAGGTTAGGAGGAGCACACGTCAGTGAGGAATGAACAGGTGCAGGGAGAGAAGGGAGGAGAGGAATCCCAACATTAACACTGATGGCTATTTAGCCCCTTTCTTGCTGGGGCACATTAATTACATTCTCATTACTCCTAATAACCCCATAACTAGAACTTATTTCCTCCATTTTGCAGATGAAGCTGGTGTTAAGAAATACAAGTAACTTGCCTCAGTGAAGTGGTAAGTGCTAGAACTGGGAACTAAACTCGCATGCATCTGCCTCCTAACTAGCTCGCTTTATCCCTGTGCATGATGAAAAGTGTGCAGCCAGGTCCTTCACAAATCCCAGATCTGTGGGTTAGGACTTGGGAAGCTGACCAGGTGGTTACTCAATTGCAGCTTTATGTCGGTCCACTTTATGGATGTCAGAACTGATAGTTATGAATTTTATGGAGCAATGGCGAAACATGTTAAATGCAAAGGGCAGGATACAAACCTCACTGTGTGCTATCATCATAGGCATGGAAAATACGTATTTTCACCCTTGAAAAAAGACTACATAAGATACATTAGCGTGCTGTCAGCAGTGCAGTTTGGAGAATATTTCCTATTTTTGTCAATAATTTCTATAGTTTTTCTCTATAATTACAAAAAAAATTGCAAGTTAGAAATGCCTACAGGAAGCATACAAGCACCTAAAAGTCACCAGTATACTTTCCTAAGGAAGGAAATAAAGCCAAGCCCCATCTTTCTGTTTCATCTGGTATCAGAAAACTTGTTGCCAGGGCTTCTGAAGACAGTGCCCAAACCTCACTGATTCAGGTCCTGCCAATTCAGTATTGACAGTCCTCTCCTATACAACTCACTGGCCTGGCACAGGAATCCAAAGACTCTAAGTGTACAAGTGAGGGAAAAACCACTTCAGCCTAGACAGAAAGTCACCTTCTGCATTGTGTCCAGCTGAACAGCATTTGGTAGCCATGAAGAGGAATTCTAAATAGCTGTTAGGTCAGAGTCTCAGTTACTTAAGAAATTTATTCTCAGTTTGGAATATCCTCAGGCACATTTGAAAGACCCTCAGTTTGTTTGCCCCCCTCCTTTTTTTTAAACATAGGGAACACTCTTATTCCTTCATTTTAATGAAGGTCTTCCAATGACTTTTAACTGGTACTCTTCAAAAGTGACATCTGTGTTAAAATACATGTTCCCAAACTTATCCCAGACCTACCGAATCAGGCTCTCCAAGCCAAAGCATAGGGAATCTGCGTTTTAAGCACCTCCTTCAATTCTTAAGATTGCGCAAGTTTGGGAAACACTCTACCAAACAAAATGAATTTGAGTTTTGTATATGTATTTGAATGTGATAAAACTGTGGATGTTTATAAGTAGTACTATCATTCCCAGTCCCTCCAAGTGGCCTAAATTAATAAGACAGATTTCCATTGACTAACACTTAGGTTGGGTTTGCCCTAAACATATACTGAGATTATGTGACTAGATTCTCAGCCTAGATCATAATTTTCCACTCATATTTTAGGGAAGAGGTAAAAGGGCAGGTTTTTCACAGAACTGAATTCTGATCCAACTCCACTGCTGACAGCTCCAGGACCTTGAGAAAGAAATTATTTAACCTTTTTCAAGCCCAAGCCCATTACCTCATTTATATGGGTTTAAGAATGATGGTGCAGCCCTCATATTACAATAATAGGGCACCAAGTACATAACAGAGGCCAAACCATCTCAGTCTAGTGTGTGAAACCTCCTCATTACATCAGAATTGGCTCTTAGAAGCGTGATTCCTTGTTGCATCTACTTCTGATTTCATTCTGCCTTCTATGCTAAGGATAATAACAAACTTCTGCAAGGGTCTTTGTGATTTAGGGGCCTTTTTCCCTAAATCTAGATTGCTCTCCACAGCAACCCTAAATTAGGGGTCATTCTCTCCATACTAGAAGAAACAAGGCCCCGAGGTCAAGTGACCTGCCTGGAAGTGGCAGAGACAGGATTTAAACCCAGATCCCACAATCTTTAAGTGCCCTGTTCTCCTCAACATATGCATCGAACATCACACAAAGCACTTTCAACTATATCAGAGCATTTTCATTGTAGTTATTTCCCCTACTAACAACTGTCTCCCCAACTAACCTAAAAGCACTTGCAGAGCAGGTACCAGATTTTATTAGTCTTTAAGGAAAAATGCAGAGCCCAAAAGGGGATGAGCTCAACAATGATGCAAACTTTTTTTGCAGCCTCTCATGCATTCCACACAACAGATGCCTGAGCTTCCCCATGTCCTGAAATGAATATATCTTACCAAATATTTATTGAACATCTATCTACTGTTACAAACTTTACTTACCTAGTGCAATGAGTGAAATACTATGTGAAACACTAAGTCTTGACACATATTGTTATTATTAATATTATTAAGTTATCCACATGGCCTATGACGCAGGCATTATTTTCCTCTTTATATGGATAAGAACTCTGAGAATAAGTTAACTAAAAAGAAGTCAATTAAAATAAAAAAGTTCTCAAAATGGCACCCACCTCTCCTACTTACTCCAGTGACCCTGAGCTTTTGGTTACAGACTACCAATTAATGGATGAACCACTAGCGAAACCAGAGGCCAGTTTTCTAAGCAATGACTAACAGCCAATAATCAGAAATAAAGACAATAACAGTTGCCAACATTTATTGAACACTTAGTTATTGAACACTTAGGTTATCTCTAATCCTTTCAGCACCTCCAAAAGGTAGGTATTATCTCCTTTTTGGGAAATAGAAAATGGAAACTCAAGAGAGAACAGGTTAAGCCCAAAGCAGGCACGGGAGCCAGGCTTGGAATCTAGACACACTGGCCCAAAGTCGTTACGCTTTCTAATATGCCATGCATACTTCACAGGCATTAGAGAAAGCAAAGTGCAAATCAACAGGAAGTTCTAACGTGGTTTGCCAAAATGTGTGCCAGGCACCTTAGAGACTCATAACTGATAAAGAATGAGATAGAAATTATGTAACTTGAAAGAACATTTGAGATACAAGATAGGATGAAAGAACTGATAGCAGGTAACATTGCCCCTACTTCCTGAATCTAATCCTATACCCATCTAACATTATCACTCCTTTACAAAGACTGATTCAAATTATTACGGAAGCTGAATCTCCGATCACCTTGAGTGAGAGGCGTGATTGGTCTAAGATCTGGCCTTTGAAGTCAAAGTAATCTGCTTTTGAGACAGCCCTTCAGATCTGTAGAGAGCAACCACATCTCTTAGGAATTTTCTCTCCTTCAGCCAAATATTCCAACCCTGAAAGGAAGGGCATGCCAGGCTGCCCAATTCACTGGTCACCTCCAGTGTACACGCAATATATTAAATAAATAAATAAGGATAAAAACTGTCTACATGCCAGGTTGTACAACACACCAGTCACCTCTACTGTATATGCAACATGCTAAATAAATGAGGATAAAGATTGTCTACATCAAAGAATTAATGAAACTTTATTATAGAACAAAATAGAGGAACAGAGAAGTCCTTGGATGGTGAAAATATCCATTCAAATCCCAGTCAAGTGACAGGCAACTCAGAGATACCTTATCCCCCTCCAAGAAGAGTGTTTTCCCCATTCCCAGAAGGACACTGGTGCCAGGCTGCTCCTGAGTCTCAGCAAAGCCATCTGTCTTCTTTGGAGTGTCCACACTCAGAACAAGCCGCTGACCCCAGAACCCGACTGGATCCCTGCCCACACACCACCATGCATGGTGGGGTCTGATTTGGACGGCACCGTCGCTCGCAAATCACACGCCACACAAGGAAAACACGAAAGCTTTATGAAAAATCCAAAGTTTATTGCAAATTGTATTTTGCTTCCCTTCGTTCTTCATTTTTACAGGATTTATTAATATCCATGATTTTTTCACAGATGTACTTGTTGACTTTGGAGAGTCTCTGTGCAATTTCAGTTTCATCCACAGTTTCTTGTGCTATTCTGTCATACAAACACTCTAGACAGGGAGAAGAAACAAGACCAAGGATTAATGGTGAATTCGAGTAAAAATCTTTTAAGGAGGGTAAAAGAAAATGTGCCTCTCAATGTACTTCCCAAATACCAATTCATGTATCTGGCATAGCTATATTTTTAAATTTGCATCATAGAATGTACTTAGAAAAGAGAAGATATACAGTGTAAATGCACACTTCAAAAGTAATGATAAAGCACCATGTGCCCACCACTCAGTGTAGCAGGATATTATTGGTTCCTCCCAAACACCTGATGCCCCTCCCTAATTCTTTCCTCTCCACCAGAGATAACCATTCTCCTGAATTTTTGCTTTTTTTTCTTTTAGTGTTAATACATGTATATATCCTTAAATAACATATAGTTTATTTTCCATTTTCAATCTTTTTATAAATGCATCCACTCTACATATCATCGTGGCTTGTTTTTTTTTTCTCCACTCAAATGTTACAGTTTTGAGATGTACTCATGAGGAATATAGTTGTAGGTCATTCATTTTCACTGATGAGTAGTGTTCTATTGTATGGCTCTATCACAATTTGTTTATCCATTTTATTGTCCATGGATGCTTGGTTTTGCAATTAAAAACACCCTGGCATATGGCTCTGGGGAATATATGCAAGAAATTCTCCAGTATCAGCGTAGGCGTGGACTTGCTGAATGTAAAGATGTTTGCCTATTCAACTTTATTAGTAATGCCTGGTAAATTGTTTTCCAAAGTGGGTGTGCTGACTGGCACTCTTAGCAACAGTGTATGTAAGTAGTACTGGTGGCCCCATTTCAATAATACTTGACATTGTCACGTTATTAAGGTTCTGACAACCTGGTGGGTGTGAAGTAGTGTCTCACTGCTGCGATTACTAATGAAGCTCAGTACTGCCACTCTCTTACTGAGTCTCCACCATTTGCTGTGATAAAGCAAAAAGCCAGCTCCGGACAAGGTCTGGCTGGAGCCTGATTTCAACTGACTGCCTAGCCTGGGGCCCTGGTACAAATCTTTGCCCTAGATTCCTCACCTCATAAATAAGGATAACAAACTACAGGGTATTTTTTTTTTAATGCTGCCATGAGGCATGTGGGATAAACATGTTGCCTTTTTCAAGTTGTAAGGAATACCACCCCTGTATGGGGTTGTTCTGATTATTTTATGTATTTATAACTATTGATTCCTAGGGCCTAACACAGTGTTTGGTACAGGGGCAAGATTAAGTACAAATATGTTAAATGATTGAATAAATGCTTTTCCAGGGAAACCTAAGGGAATACAAATATTCTGGACAGAAGAGGACTAGGGTGCGGGTGGTAAAGGTGCCACGGGAGTGTGTAATAATGGGCAAAACCCTTAACTCCTATGAGCCTGAGTTTTCTCAACTAAGCAGGAATGACAATCCAATCTTGAGGAATTGCTATGGAGACCAATACAATCTTGTCATTACCAAGCCAGCTTAAAACAGGTAATTGTTTCTGATGCAGAATGTTAGCACTAGAAGGGATTGTTAAGACTAATTTATGCTAACCCCTCCACTAACATATGAGAAGCCCGAGGCCTGGAGAAAGGGAAGAGGGATGGAGCAGAATTCACTGCTGCCTCCCCACACACTGGGCCCTTCCCTGGACACGGAGCCAGCCAGTCTGCCTTCTGTGCCATCCGTGCTGCAGGCACACCTGCTATAAGCCTTCTTGCTCTGAGGCACCCTTTTCTTTTTACCAAGAAGGGTTTTGCACAAAGAAGCTTTTTAAAAGCTTTTAATTGACCTCTACCAGTCACTTCCTGACTACTCCCAAGCCTGACTAATCCTCACTTCATCTTGGCTTGGCCTTTCCATAAGGACTGAGAGGCAAGAAGGTAGGAGGCCCTGTCTCTCCCGTCCCACTTCTGCTGTATTAGTCATCATCGATTCCCGTCCTTTCCAATCTATTCCCACATCAGTGACTTTGCTCATCTCTACTTAAGTCCTTACCCTTCACCTGCCTAAGTCCTACTCATTCTTCCAGATTCAGCCATCTTGAAACCTAGTATCAGATTGAGTTAGGAGACCTCACTCTGCCTATAACTCTGTGCTCCCACACTTATCTGGGTTTTCCTGTCAAAGCACTAATCACAATCTAATAAAACTGTAACCACATTGTCGCCCCACACAGACTGGGACACCAAGGCATTCCCTCTCCACCTCTGGGCCAGGAGAAAACAAACACACGCAGTGACTTTGTAGGAACCAAATGAGGGAGACAGCCTGTGATGAGAACTGCTTAGAATCTGAGATATTCAAATCTGATTCAAACCCTAGATACTGTGTGACCTCTAGGGGAGACTTCTCTGGGTCTCAGTTTCACTATCTACAAAAGTAGCACGTCAAACCAGAGAATCTAAGAAGACTCCCCCAGCTTGGAGTCTCTAATTGTCTGCAAGGTAATAATGGCAGGTAAAGAGGCAAAGAAGACAGGAGGGGAAGGCAGGAGAGTAGGCATAGTGGCCCTGAGGGCCCCTAGCATTAGTCAGAGAAGAGGTAGAAGGAGAAAGGCTTCGGAAGAGCCCCCACAGGATTTCAATCATTCTCATTTCCTGTGGGTAACAGCACTGAACGAAGGGCTCCTCAGGTTGATTAAAAGGCTTTCGTTAGACTCCAGATATTAATCACCTGCAGTTGCCGGGAATGTCTCCCTCTGCGAGGCAGCATTTGAGATTATTGCTTAATTAACAAGGTTTATAACAGTGCTAATGTGTCCTATTAAAAAAGTTATAAAAATTAACCAGAAAGCAATGCTGAGGCTCATTTAGAAAACTCAGACACTCGGCAAATGGTCATTTGACCTTAATAGGTTTAACTGTCATTCTGGAGCTTGTCATTGGAGAAAGACTCTGCTTCAGCTCTCTTGCTTTTATCTTTCCAAAGCAGCGTCAATGTTTGTCCCATCCTTCTGCTATCCGGTAAGGAATTATTTTAAAATCAAAGAGAAGAAGGAATCCTCACCAATGCTGTGAGCATAAAGGTTTTTCTATTTTTTTTTTTTTACGGCAAATGTGACTACATATGAGAAAATCAGACAAAATAAATACAATGTCAATCCAGCAGACAGCTTGCATGGGAAGAACCAGCCAAATGCAAACTGGAATAGCTCAAATAATTAGGCTAAAAACAGTGGTTATATCGTGGGATAGGAGACAGATGTCAAACCTGCCTCTCTTTAGTAAAAATAATAATAAAAAAAATCAACATTATATTTCAGTAATACAAGAAACCTCTGGCGACAGCAGGAAGCCTGAAACCCTAGCCCAGCCTGGCTGTCTCTAATCAGATGTATGGCCTTAGGCAAGTCAACTTACTTCTCATTCACATACGTGGCAAGCATTTACAGGCAATAAGGGTTAAACAAGGCTCCTAGGAGGCAAAGATACAGTAAGAAGAGAACTGAGGTAGGCACTGGGTGCTGTTGGATGAATGACAGAAGCATCCATCCACCCTAAAAGGTCCGAGATGACTTCCTGAAGGAAGGCTCACCTACCTAAGCAGATCTGGGTGTAAGCAGCATCTAGCCAGGCAAAGCAGCACAGATGGAAGGTAGGTAGGGTGACCTGTGTTCCAGGCATCCAGAAAAGTATTTGCAAATTCCCCAAGGTTACAGGGAACAAGGCTTGTTCAGGGAATACAGCAGTTCACCGTGATAATAACGTTAAGAGTTCAAGGGGAATACTGCTGAAAAATAATACTGGAGATACAGCCAGGAACCAGATTACAAGGTGCTTTTATGGCATGTTAAGAAGCTTACCCTTTAATAATGAACATTCTGAACAGGCTGTGACCAGGTGGTGGTCAAGGGATATCTGTTTTCTGAAGATTGCTCTGGTTACATAAGAGAGGAGTCTGGAAGCTGCCAGAGTCATGGAGGGGAGAAACGAGTGTGGGCTATGAGAAGGGCAGTAGCTATGGAGAGACGCAGATGGTTCTCTCCATATTTGGAAAAAGTAAAGAAATTTAAAATGGCTTGGAAAATGGGGGAGTGGATCAGCAGTGGTTTAAGAGAGATCTGGGGGCCAAACAGATGGGTAGTGAGGGATGTGGAGGAGTCAAGGATGAAGCCTGGGTGCCCGGCTGGTGGTACTACTCATCAAGACAGGGAACACAGAAGAGGCAGAAGGCTTCACACAGAAGGAGAGAAAAGAAGAGAGAGAAGTGAGCAGTGCAGTTTTGCCAATGTCATGTGGACATCTGTGAAGAGATGACCAGTGGGCGCTTGGACATACAGATCAAGAGATCAGAAGTGTGAATTGAGGTCAAATACAGGTTTGAGAATCATCATTGACTGAATCAACAAATATGTATTGAGCGCTTACTATGCGCTAGCCCTGAATAATATGCTTGTAAAGTTTAAATCTAAAGGAAGTGGGAGAAAAAAGAAAATTATCATGTAAAAAAAGTAAATAGGAAATGCTATACAGAGACTTGAAGTAGGGTGAGGTGACAGACAGCAATGGAAAGGCCACTTTAGACTAAGTGGCTAGGGAGGCCTCTCTCAGTGACAGCGAGGAGGGCATGCAGATCAGGAGCAAGGGAGTGGGAACAGGAAGGAGTGAAAGAACTCCAAGGCTACAGCATGGCGGCAAACGGGAAGTGTGATACAAGATGATGTCAGAGGCGTCCCAAAGGCAGATCATCGGTAACAGCTGAGGAGTACGGATTTCAACGCAGAGCCAAGGGCACACTGAAGGCAACGGGAACAACAGGAAGTGAGAAGAGACGCTGAGGAATGCTTGGCAGGATTAGACAGAAGAGGGCTGGAGACAAAGGGGCGGGCCCATCAAGGAGACTGAGAAGCCAGAAAGATGGGAAGAAACCCCCAGCGTGCAGAACAGGTTTCTCAGTGAAGGAGGAATGGTCATGTCAAACAGGGCCAGTGAGAGTGTGAGAAACACACAAGGATTTAGTGACAAGGAAGTCACTGGGGACCTTGGTGAAAACAGATCAAGCAGAAGGCTGGGAGGCCGAGGCAAATGGCAAGGGCATTATCAGGGAACACAGTGGGTGCAGCTAGTCTTTCCAGGAGCCTGGATGTGAAACAAGGGAGATATGAGAGCAGCTGGGTGACAGAGTGCCCTTTAAGGAGGGTTTCTTTGCTTTTGTAAGAAATGAGTGATCAAGTATATTCAAACGATGCTGGGAAGGAATCAGTAGAGCAGGAACACAACTGAAGGAACAAGGTACTTAGGAAGGCAGGCAGATTGAAATCCAGAGCTCAGGTGGAGAGACTCACCAGCCCCCCCAAAAAGAAAGAACTCTTTTGGGACAGGAGGCAGGAAAATTGAGGACATAGTTAAGTCTGTAGGTGTGATGCGTCAAAACTGTGGAAATTCCTTTACTTTCCTCTCTGAAAGAAGAGACAAGGCCTATCTCTTAGATGTGAGCTATCATATGTGAAAAAGTAAAAAAAATTAAAAAGGGCTTGGAAAATTAGGGAGTTGATCAGGGAGGGAAACTCAGACAACTTGGCAGATGATGTGGAGTCCCAGCAGGGTTTGAAGCTAAGGAGTGTGTCATGGCCCAAGCCACATGGATGAGGTATATTCTTCTACGTTGCTGCACTGCTACAATCCTGGGCAGCCCTGACTATCTTCAGAGGTAAGATCGTTTCAGCTTAGTTTTCAGCTAACAAATCTGAAACACGGAGAGAAAGTGATTTACAAGAAATCACACTAACAGTTGGTCAGGGGATCGGCTTGTGGGTCTCAGTATTTCTTCTGTTCAACCCTTCATTTACTGAGTGCCTACTATATGCCAGGTATTGTGTTTGGCAAAGAGGCCACAGAGGTGAGTCAAATATAGTTCCCTGATCCCTGAGGCAGACACACAGCAGATGATTTTATATCATGTGATAATGGTAGAAACAGACAGTTATCTGAAGGCACCCAGGACCCCCTGAGTCATGTTCCAATAAGCACAACAGAATTAGAGGTTGGTCGCCTACCAGGCAGGGCAGGGCAGGGCTGCATCCCCAGAATGGCCTTTTTCTCAGGGTGACCTCCCAAATCAGGCTTTACCACTTCAGACAGCAGCCAGACCAAAGGTTACCTCTGCTTATCCAAAAATAAGCAGCTGCCTAAATCAGTTAATCTGGAGCCAGCCAGGCAAGGGAGGCAGCTATGTTACAGCAGAACAAGCCCAGACCAGAGTCGGGGGGTGTGTGTTTGAATCTAGGCTCTGAAACCTTATAGTTGTGACCTCAGGCTGGCTGCTTACCCTATGTCCTGCCACCTTGACCTCCAAAATATACCCTAAACCTGGGCATATTTCTCCACCTCCAGTGCTGTGCCCTTAGTCTATGGGCAGCAGCATCTCCCACCAAGAAGAGCAATGCAACAGCTTTGTAACTCATCTCCCATGTGGTCACTCCATGATTGGAAGACCTCCACTGCCCTCCTACTCTAGTAAATCCAAGGTGCTTACTGTGGCCTTCTCAGCCCTACAAGACTGGCTCTCGCCCACCTCCCTGAACTCACTCTCCCTTCTTCTGCATCCCAGCCATCTGGGGCTTCTTCACACCTGTAAGATGCCAGCCTTCACACCTGCTGCTTATTCTGCCTGTTCTGCCACCCCTCTGTCTTTTACAAGGATGACTCTTCCACATCCAGCTTGCAGCTCAATGTCACCTCCTCAAACAGACCTTCTCCAACTACCCCAGAGAATGCAGCCCTCTCTGTCCTACCACAGCATGAGGAAGCTCATAGTACCTAAAATTATCGAACTTGTTCCTGGACATATTTGTTGTCTGCCGCAGAGTCTGCTGAAAACATACGTGTTGACTGACTGAGTCTTACTTTCTTTATGAAAACATGGCAGACCTGGACACTGAGAGATCAGTGGTTAGGAGCACAGATTCTGAAGACGGCCTGCTGGCTCGACTCCCAGCTCTCCTCCCACTAGCTGTAAAACCTGGTCAAATTACTTAACATCTCTGTCTCAGTTTCCTTATCTGTAAAATAGAATTATAATAGTAGCCAACAGTAGGGTTGTTAGGAGGATAATGAGCTAACATATATAAAAGTGTTTTTAAAAAGAGAACCATTAAAAAAAAGCACACCCCAAATCCTGAAACACAGTAAGGACCTAAAATAATTATCAACTACTGTATTCTCTTTGCTCCCTCTACACCACTGTCTGTCTCTATAGTTTTTATTTTCTGTAGAGTAACTAGTTGTTTTTTGTGTTTATCTTCCCCATGAGACTATGAGCTCCTTGCAGATGGATGCTGTGTCTTATCCCTCTTTGTGTCCTCAATACCCAGTAGAGGGCCTGGCAAGGAATGGAAGGGTGGAGAAAGGGTGGGAGAGAGGGCGGAAAGAAAAAAAAAGAGGAGAAAGAAGAGGTAAGAGAGAAAATAGAAGATGAAGGAAGAAAGGAGGGAAGGAGGGAAGGAAAAAAAGAGGAGAGAGGAATAAAAGGAGGGAGGGAAGGAAAGAGGGAGGAAGGAGAAAAGAAAGGAGGGAAGGAAGGAAGGGAAAAAGAAAGAAGGAGGGGAAAAAGGAAGGAAGAAAAAAGGTAGGAAAAAAGAAAAAAAGGAAAGAAGGAAGAAAAAAGGAAGGAAGAAAAAAGAAGGGAAGGAAAAAAGGAAGGAAGAAAAAAGGAAGGTAGGAAAGAGGGAAGGAAGGAAGTAAAGAAGGGAGGGAGGGAGGGAGGGAAAATTCAAGAGTCCGGGATACAGCCCTATCTTTAGGGAGACAAGTGGCTCCCTGTCTCTTTTCCTGCCCTCCAACCTCTCCCAAATACCAGAAAGGAAGCTGAATCTTTTGACTATCAGCTGGTCTTCATCTCATTAACTGCTCCAGGCACAATGCTAGAACTACCAAGAGCTGCATCCCCTAGCCTTGATGTTTCCTGCTCTGGGTACACAACAGCACTCCTTTCCCATCTCCATGCCTTCGTTCAAGATGCCTCTGCCTCCTGAAGCATAACACCTCACCATACACATCTGTGTCTCCGTATCCGTCAAGGCCCAGTTCAGTGACCCCCTTCCCCAGGAAGTCTTCCCTGATTTTCCAGCTAAGGGTGTCCTCCCCTCCTGAGAACTCCCTTGGCATGCCATCTGTCCCTTTCTCATGCTAATTCCTTGTGGAATGTAATTGTACTTGGGTCCACAGCTCATCTGCCTGGTAAATGTGAGCTCTTCTGGGGCATTTGGGTTATCTGCTCAGGTGTCCACGGGCTCAGCCCAGGGCCTGGCATGCAGAGGCCTCATTAAGTAATCACTGAATTGAATTGTGCCTAATACATTCTCGACAGAGTAAAAGACAGAATCCCAGCCAGTGTTTCCACTCAGTGACCTACCTCTGACGATGCTTAGTTTGTGAGGCGAGAGGGGTGGTTTAGGGACCGCATCTTTCTTTTTTTTTGTGGCAACTCCTGTGACGCTTCTGTTTTTCAGAACATCTGTTCCCCAAATCATAACTGCCAAGTTCTTCGTGTACTTGGAATCTCCTTGGGTTACTTGTAGCTGGTGCCATTTCTCCTCATCAACCCAAATCCCGCTTCCCAGATGGACCTGAGAGGAATAGGAACACCAGCACCTGTTTAGTCCGACAGGAGGGCAGTGGGAGGCTTCTCTTGTCCTTTAAAAAGCATTGCTGCACAACTGTAAGAGATCCATGTCATAAATAAAAATTAACTCTCTTTAAGGGTGATCATAATAGCTATCATCTACTGAATACCTGTAGTGTGCCAGGCCTTATTCCAGTGCTTTATATTTGCTATCTCAAATCTTTATGCCAATTGTGGATAGAAGGCCTTATAACACTGTTTTCCTTTCAGTTGGAAAAACCAGGTTTAGAAAGGTGAGATGACTTGCCAAGTATCACTCAACTAGTAACTGGCAGAGTTGAGATTCTACACTATACTTAGGTTATTGCTAGACTGCTCAGAGCCTGACCAAATCTCAGAATACACATGCCTAAATTCTTTCTGTGTTACATATGGAAAGACTCTTCTTCCTCTAATGTGAACATTCTGGGACATATATCTTCCTAGCATGGTGGTTCTCAACCTTGGCTGCACACAGGGGTCAACTGGGAAGCTGGAAAAATCACCAGTGCTGGACGTGCATGGTGGCTCACGCCTGTAATCCCAGCACTTTGGAAGGCCAAGGCGGGCGGATCATGAGATCAGGAGATCAAGACCATCCTGGCTAACACGGGGAAACCCCGCCTCTACTAAAAACACAACAAATTTGCCGGGCGTGGTGGCACAAGCCTGTAGTCCCAGCTGCTCAGGAGGCTGAGGCAGGAGAATCGCTTGAACTTGGGAAGCAGAAGTTGCAGTGAGCCGAGATACTGCATTCCAGCTTGAGCGATAGAGCGAGACTCTGTCTCAAAAACAACAAAAAAAAAATCACCAGTGCCTGGACCCCACTTGCAGAGATTCTGATTTATTTGGATGGGGTGTGGCCTAAATACTTCCAGTGTATGGCTGCATGTGAAAACCTCTGCCAGTGAGAGTAAGGAGAGCTGGTGCCCTGCCAACTGGAAGGCTGTGCCAGTCCTTTCCCACCTCTGAGCTTCATTTCCCTACCTATGCAGTGGGAGAGCTGGATTTCATCTCAAAGTGCCTTCTGGCTCAAAACACCTATGATTTTAAACACAACACAAGGCACCCAATTTGATTCCGACGGCACAAAGAACAAAATCCAATCTTATGCTCCCTATGAGTTTCAGTGCAGAGCCAATAAGACCCAGAATGTTCCAGCAATAAGCTACAAGCTTGTAAATTTGTTCTCTTTTCTGCATCTTCAGTAAATCTAAAAAAAAGTTAGTATAAAATTTACATCTCACAAGTCATTTACTAACATTACAAATTAAAAAATAGTGTCGCTTTGACATTGCCATTTACGTCGTGCTTCTGCTGAGTCTGTGAGGGGAGGAAATGCCTTTGTGGGGACAGAGGGTGGCAGGTGCTAATGAGCTTAACTTTCTAAGGGGCATGAAAAGGATCTGCCAAATGTTCCTGTTTTCAGAAATGCCTGCAGGTTGCCAACATCACATGGTCAGAGACATCTCTGGAGAAGTCGTGGTCTAGGAGACTTGACGCATTCCCAACTAATGGCAGGCCAGCAAGACCAATTGTTCAAAAAACAATTAAAGATCTTTCTACTACTGAAGCTTGGCTTGGGAGGGAAGGTGAGTACACACAGTCAGGCAGTCAGGTGTCAGCCAGCAACACTTCTTCCTTTACCAATTACTGAAATTTTCCAACCATCAAGAAGAAAAAAAATAGCAACGCAGCCCACCCAGGAATGTAAGTAAACAATCCACCTGCACATCTGACTTCACCTCCTTTTGCTCAAAAGATCATTCAGACTGCTGCAGGCAATCAGATAACTAGATCCACCTGGCCTCCCTGCGCTGTAAACTTCAGTATTGCAAATCTGTTCATCTGCTCAGGAAAGATAAGCAGCCCTGGAGTGAGATGTACTACCTGGCTGCTGGCTAGGCGACACGGACACCAAGGTCACACGTGGCCTTTTCTCCCCAGTTCGTACTGCAGGTGGGCAGTCTGTGTGCTAGAGGGGGCATGCTGGGGACAAGTTCCCCACTGCTCCCCGCTGGACCCTGTATCACTTCCCTTGATGACACTTGACGCCACCCACACAAGCTTCCTAGGATAGGAGAAAAACAAGGAACTTTGAAATATTTTCAATTCTGAATCAGAAAATCACAGAGATGGATGCCAACTTCAGATTTCTCAAAAATCTCTGTTTCTCCCTGACTCTTGCTTTCCTGTGATCTTTTAATTTGTTATTCTTGAAAGGGAGATGAAAGTCCTTTTAGTCAATGTTCTATAAGAGAAAAGGGGCACTAGTATTTTTTGAGTACCTATAATGAACCAGGTACTGTACATTCAATTTATTTATTCCTCATAATGACCTTAAGAGATGGAAACAGGTAGAAATTATTTTCCCATTATACAGATGTAAACAGAGATTCAGAGGGACTGAATAACTTTTCCTAAGGTACAGTCAATTTTGGAATCAAGATTCAAATCCAAATCCTGAAGCTTCTGCTCTCCCTGTCTTCCTTGCTGCCACCAAGGTGGTACTGACATAGATGAAAGACAGCAGACCTAACACATCAGTGTTCAGTTACTTTTCCTCTTTTCTCTGTATCTGCCTGGCTACTTCCCATGCCAGCTCCCAGCGTAGTTCACCACTGCAGACAGGGAAGCCAGGAAAACAGCCACGGACTGGCCTTTGCCTCCAGTCCTTGCTCCCTCCAACCCGCCCACCCTATAATCACCACACATTAAGTTCCCTAAAACACCTCTTTCCCTGTTTGACTAGATGACTTCTGCAGTCTTTCAACTGTGTTTTTATGTCAATCCTCTGGAACTCTGAATGGCTCCCTGTGTCCTACCACATATAACCCAACTTCTTCAGCCTGGCTTTCAAGGCCCATTAGAATCCTTTGTGTCTACTAATCTTCACTCTCCTACTACATTTATCTACATAGTCCATCTACACTATAAAATTCCTGAACTCGTTCATTTGCTGCTACTTCCAGTGCGCTATAACATCAAGAAGATGGGTGCTGGAGCTGCCGGCCCTGGGTGTAAATCTCAGCTCTTCTACCTGGTTGCAACTCACTTTACTTTTCTGAGCCTTCCTTTTCTCAGCTACACAGTCAGCAGACCACTGCTACCTCAGAGTTGTTGTGAGGGTCAAAAGAGAAAAGATGCGTAAAGTGTCAGGAGGCCAGCAACTGTTACATCCTTTGCTCTCTTTCCCCTCCCCGTGTTTCTGTTCCTGCCATTCTCTTGCCCAGGAATAAATGTTTTCCCTATTTTCTTAAGCCTGCTAATCTTTCAAGTCTAAAATCCAAGAAACACTCCTTAATTACTGCAGGGCTAAGTTCTATCCCTTCTGAATTTCTAGTCCACTTAGAGCCACTGCTACCTAATTCAGCCCTTCACAGTACCTGTCACTGGGGAAGGTCAAGGCTTTGATGTCCCCTGTAAAGTGATAAGGCCTAGTCTGTACACTAAGCAGTAAGAAATTGATGGGCATATTTAATGGCTTTATGGAACTGTTTTTTTTGCTTCTGATGAGCTGCTGTTCCTTGGAGAAGAAAATATTTTCTGACATTCACTCAAGTACAATGCCAACTTTAGAGCACAGAAAGACATGAGCTTCCCTACAACCATGCACAGGTATATGCTGGGGCATTTGAGACAAGGGCCCCTGAGGTTAGCAAGGCTCAAGGTCACCTGGAGCAATGCTCAGCTTTGAGGGATGTAGCAGAACAGACTGGTGAGAGCACTGGCCTAGGACCCAGGAGGTCTGGCTTTCAGTTCCTGCCTATATAATTATCTAACCTGTTATATAATTGTAGAGGAGTCTAGATGTGTTTCCCTATCCATATTACGTATAAATTAGGTTATTTAAAATTTAATGGTCTTTGCAGCTTTATGATTCAATGAGTTTTTGAAATAAAACATCTTAGACAAAGAAAAGCAATGCACTTTACCCAAATCAGAATTTGTGTGGCAAGCCCAACTCATGTAGACCACAGTATACTGTTTGACCAAAGTGTTACTGTTATGTGTCAAAGGAGGTTATCAAAAATGTGGCATCTGGTAGGATGGAACTTGATCAAATTATATTTGTGTGAAAAGTTTTATAGGACAAAACTCATTTCCTACTAGGAAATGTATCCCATTCCAATGCTCTAAGCCTTGCAGAGATTAAGGCCTCTGATCATGCAGACAGAAGGAAGAGTCAGAGAAGACAGCAGAGCCACGAACAATGAGGGCTACTTCTGAGACGTGGGAGATGCTGTTCGGGGAAGCTGCTGTCATTTTCCGCGTGTTCACTTCCTTTCTTCTGCATTTAACTCTCTCTGCCTGACTACCAATTAGGTGCAAGCAAAAACCAGGTTAGTCTTGTAGCAACATGTTGGCAAAAACCAATGAAAAAACAAAATAGGCATTTTCAAGATTTGCTGTTCAACTCGTGTAAAAAAATTAAATGAGGTTTGAGAGACTCATTTTCTGGGGGAAGAATGCTATCTTTGCAAAAGAGGCCCCCTATAATGCTCTGAAACTATCCATCAGCCTTCAAGGCAAGGGAGAAATAGATTTCTCTTGGAAGCTACCTTAATAAAAACTCTCTAGTCACTCCACAATGTGGTCATGACTAAAAGGAAATCAACAAACATAGCATAGTCCTCTTTTATCTGATTGGGGAAGGTTCACCAAACTTAGATACACAGTTTGAATCAGAAAGGACTTTGGAAAGCATCAATCTGATCTCATCTTTGACAGATAAGGATGCTGAGACCCAGAGAAGTGAAGGACCTTTGCAAGGTCACACAGGTAGGACAGATACAGAGCTATGCTAACAACTCAGGCTCTAGGCTGCCGACTTTCAACCTGTCATGCCACTTCTCCTCTGCAAAGCTGACATTTCAAGCCTGTTGAAGGGAACAAGGCAAGGCAGAATGGTCCTACGGTCTGGCCCATCAGCTTTGCCTCTGCAGGGGAGGAAGCACTCAGTGGGAGACGCAGGGAATGACAGCACATCCAAGAGAGCCCTGAAAACTAATAGGTTTCATTTCCTTAGCTTGACAATATTTGCTTTGGCTCAGGTTGGCCAGTTGCAGAGACATATCTGGACAAACCCAAACAAAACAATTTTTTCTTTATCATCAACCCACCAGAGAATGATACTAAATAAACAGAGACCTTTTGAAGTTTGAGGCAAGAAAAATGAACCGACACATATGATACCTTAAGGAGAATGAGAGGCGATATCTGTAATGCATGCCACGGTGGCAGAGAACATAACACGAAAGCTGAATTTCACCAGTGCCCACACAAAGGGCTCTGATATACTTCTTCAAAGATGAATTTGACTGAAGGTTAGAAGAATGTCAGAACAGTTTCCTCCTCCGCCCTGCTGCTATATAATCATGTGACTTTAAGATTTTTCAAAAGCTATTCCATTACTAATAGTGCTTAAGTTTTCATTCATCATTTGTTTTCAAGGTCATCTAAATAAATCCGAGGAATTCTATGTGGCCTAGGACTGTGGGCTAACCACTGCTGCATACATACAGCTTGAAGGAGGCTTAGGGATAGGGAGTATGTCTTCTTCACCCCTGTATTCCTGTTATCTAGCACAGGGCTTAGAACATGCAGATACTTTGTAAGTGGTGAATGAATACAAATTGAGTTGTTATCTGTAAATCAGATACTACATTTCCAGTTCACATGACAAATTTTAGGCATCTGGACTCATAGGAAGGTGGGACAAGTTTCATCAAACTATCATGGGAATTAAGAAACTTCTCATTAGTAAGCTATTTCAAAATGTCAATTTACTTTTATAGATGCTTTGGCTCAATATTTTTTTAAAAAGTAAGAAAGAAAAAAAGGAAGAAGGAAGAGAAAATGCCCCAGTAAAGCTATGCTACTTATAATATACAAATTCCAGAAGCAGACATTCAGGGCTAGTCCAGGAGGCCAACCAGTCAAGTGGTGTTTCGGAAAGCTCCCACCATACTCTCCATCTTTACTCTGACTAACAAACACTTGCAGGGAATGGATATTGAGCTTAAAACACTACCTTGCCATTGTCTAGGATATACTTGTCCATGACAGGCGCAGGAGCGGGGTAATAGGACGACGTATTTGCTTCCTCACTGAAAGTGCTCCGTAACTCCGGCTCGGGCTCGAGACATTCTGACTTTACTTTTTCCAGATCAATGGCGGGACCTAGGCAGTTAAGAAAAGAAATCTGTCTAGAACTCCAAGGAAAATAAAACGCAAATATTTTTAACTAGGCATCTATCAGCACACAGTGGCACAAAAAAAAAATATGCTAGCTTATTTTTGTCCATTGAACTACACTTAAACCCAGACTCGAAAATAATATGAGGTATGAATGTCACAAGGGAAAAGGTGGAAAACTGGAGACAAGAATGGACTAGACCCTAATGAAGTTTGAATGAGGAGCACGCTTCTAGGGTGTCATTGTCTAAATGGAAAGGCAGGATTCAACTTCCTGCACAGGAAAGAGGTTCTGTTAGGACTGGGTTGGAGAAGGGGTGGCAATTGCTGGAATATGCAAATAGTGTATTTGTCAAAATCCTCACTTCAACAGCCTACATTGGAGAAGGCCATAATAGAAGAAGGGAGCTTAGGAAAGGGTGGGTAAAAATGTGAAGGCCTCCCCCTCCCCAAGACCTAGTATCTAGACAGGAGCATTTGAACCAACAAATTAAAACACAATACACATTAAGCCCCTGATTGCCTGATCCAGCAGCTACTCTGATTTCTATTTTAATGCAATCAACACAAATTACATGCTGTTTAAATAGTGAAAGGAAGCTAGATAAATGGTGATAGTTTCTAAGGGGGTTATTTTTTCTCCATTAGCTTTTAAAAATGGACTATTTTTTAAAATCACCTATTGTGTGTTGATTACTAAAGGGCAGAGAAACAGGATGAAAATGGGTAAATAAGGCCAAATGACTTGATTAACTTTTGTGGGAGAACAACTTCAAAGGCCAATATAATTTAACATGATGAAAATTCTCCCCATGCAAACATTTCAGGAGCTGACTGAGTCAGATCAGAGATTTGGCTACTGCCATAGCAGCTCCCTCTGGCTGTGCATGTAACTTAGGTGTAACAGATGAACTCACAGACCAGCCTTCTCTTTTGCTAGCCATGTGGACAACTGGGTACAAATCTCTTTACATATTAAAGCCCTTTGTAACAATCTGCTTGCAACTCTGTGTTCAGCTGACACATCCTAGACTTTGGTTGGTAGCAGTGAAGGTATTGGTGAATTTGTTACCAAAATTCCTCATGACACAACTTCCCAGAAGAGAATATCAATCCTGAGTGGCTGGCAGTTCCTAACTGAAAGACGGAATCTCTGTAGTCTCCTAAGATTTAAGAATGAAACTTGCACAAAGCTGAATGGAAGATGGTTGGGTAACAGAACAGTGTAAATAAAAGACCTCAACTCATCTTGGTAGAGATTTCAGGTCCCATTTCTAGCTATGCTATATTTCAATTGTGTGACCACAGGTGAGTAAATTACAGATACAGAAACTGGCAGAGAGAAGGACCAATAGCATCATAATTGTTCTGACAGCACTTCTCAATAGGAAGTACAGGAACTATTCAAGAGCTAGGCCTAGGTCTTATTCTTTCCTTTGTCCCCAGCACCTGGAGCTGAGTAGGTAATCTCTAAATGTTTGCTAAGTAAATAAAAGAATGACAATAATGAATGAGTAATTCTAAAGTTTCAGAAGCAAATGCCAAAGTTTCTTCTCTCTCTGTATGGGATCACAGGTTAAATTGTTGAGACACAAACAAATTCAGGTGGAGCATTTGATCTTTTCTCAGATCTGGGAAGAGGTAATTACTTAAATTTCCCCTAAAGCACATGGCTGAGTTGGTGTGTGACGTCTCTTCTAGGTCTGACCTTCAGCCACAGAAAAAAAAAAATGGCTGAGAACAGGAGGTCTATGAATCCACTCACTCACATCATCTTTAGTAGAACATGTCCTTCCTCTAGAGCCTCCTTTTCCTTCCATGAGATGATGGACAACTGAATGAATCCAGTCCAGCCATTACTTCAGCCTGATTCTCTCCCATCCATCTCTATAAAGGCCATCAAAGAGATCTTCCACATGGCCCCATCTTTCCTGCTTAGGCTGCCCATTACCCACGAAATTAAGTCCCATACCATCGCCTCCGTAAGGCCCAGAACAACCAGCCTCCTCTCAACCTCTAGGGTTCATTTATTGCCCTCCACCAATATTCACCTCTGCTCAGGCACCTCAAATGCCATGTTGTTCCAGGCCTCTATGCTGTTGCCTTGGCCTCATCTGTCTGCCAAGATATATATACCTATAAAAATACACACACACACACATATATATACACACACACATACATGAAATGATGATTTCAGAGTCTGGTACAGAGTGGGTTCTCGGTAGATAGTCGTTCATTCCCTCTCCACCCACTCCCATACAAGTTACACTTGTGTGCTTAAGTTTGTTTCTACTAAACCGTAGGTTCTGTGAAACAGAGCCTGTGCTGTTCTGCTTTTGCCCCTGGAGCTTAGCACAGGCCCAGCACAGAGCAGGTCCTTGTACTCCACAGGTCCTTGTACATCCACTCCCCTCAAGGCTCATGATGGTCTCCTCAAGGATCACGATGTTCTCCTCAGGGACTCATAGACTTCTGTCAAATACTGAACTACTATACTGAGATCTTGGCTCTCAAGAAAAACTTTTTTCTAAATTTCTCAGTCAGTACCATTTGATTAACACCTGGTGAAAGCTCTCTCCAACGGCCTCCTCATTCCATGACATTAACTACAGAAGGTCAGCCTGAAAAGCCAACCAAAGGTACATCTTAAAAGGGACTTTTCAGGAGACCTGGGTGTGAATCCCGGCTCATGACTTCAAAGTCAGGTCATCTTATCCTCTCTGCAAATCAGCTTTCCTACCTGCACAATGGGGATTACCAAAAGCCATCACCCAGGCTGATGACACTTCTAGAAGAGCCTAGCACTGAGGCAGGCACAGAACAGACAGAAGCTGGCAAATGGCAGATGAATGAAGGAATGAATCAATCAATAAAGCACAATGTTTAGCATTACAGGACCAGAAAGAAAAGGAACAGAAAAAGCATGTGGTTTCTTCTGGGAGAGCAGGGAGGGCCCCTAGTGCTTTTAATTTAAGAGGGGGGAAAATCACTTCATTGCAAATTTTAGTCGGCTCCACTACCGATGTTGGCAATTTACATCTCATTATAACAAATGCTTCAGATTGCTGTTTTGCTTTTAAAAAATTTCTGAGGCATTGTTCTCCCTCAAACACATGTGACCAAATTAGCCACAATAATAAGCACTTGCGTTAAGAGACAGCATTGTACAATCTGGCGCAGATATTTTAGGTAACAAAGGAACATTTTTCACTTTGTGGGAGGACTGGGAATTAAAAAAAAGGGGGCTTTGATCCACTTGCATTCCGATATTGACACACACTTTAAGTTTATTTGGGGGAAAATACACCTTCCATGGAAAGAAACCTCTCAGCTGGGTAAAGGAAGCTTTTAAAAAATATAAAAGGTGCTATTTGTCTTTTCACTGAATCATTCATGAACCCATTCATCACGCAATCCCTGACTGCATATCAAGATCCAGGCTCTGTAAGAGGCACTGGGGACCCAGAGACAAAGTATGTTCCTGTTCTGGGGGAGTTTAGATTTAACATGTGAAACGCTATTATATAGCATACACGTAACTCTGATTTAATGGATGAGCAATAGATTTAGTGTTAGAAAAACCTGGTACAGATCCTGCTTCTGTTATTTACCTCTTTAAGCCCTACTGGCTTTTTCCCTAAAATGAAAAGCATGACACATGGTTAGGGTCTTTGTAAGTGCTTGCTGGCACAACAAATAGACGAAATTATACCGTTTTCTATTCTCGTTTTATTGTAAACTAGACTAATGCTTTTCTTTCTGAATAATACAAATGTTTATGTTTGTGTGGCTTCCGGGTTTAGAAATCACCTTTTTTCAAATATATATGTGTTTGGACACTAAATATCATTTTTGATTTCAGCTGAAATAGAAAGCTTAATAATATTAAATTTTTTTTTTTTTAGAAAAAAGTACTAAATCCTTTTACTTCTGTAAGTAAATAGGAAGCTTCTCTGTTGTACATACCATCCTATTTTCGTCATGAATGCAAAGTAAATCAAGTCATAATTCTGAAATGCACACAGAACATCTTCTGTGGCACAGGGAATACCGGATTTGGCAGAATGGAGATGATTTTACTGTCAAGGAGGACCTGTGCATGGGAATAGCTACGTAACAATGAAGGAGTTAAACAAGGGCCTTGGAAAGAGACTAGGGAAGACACCTTCAGAGCTGGGTAGGAGGATCCCTGCCTGTGGACCTTCTCAGGCCCTCTCAGAAGTCATCAGCTCCTCTCACCTGCTGCTGTAGCTGTGCCTCTGTTTCTTAGACCCATTAGGCTTTCAGTGAAAGCGAAGGCAAATCTGGTTTCACTCCTGTAGTGAGAATCTACTAAGTACTTCCTGAGTGCCAGCCCTGGGCTAGGTGGAACTGAGTGCTTCACAGTCCAGCAGCGGAAAGAGACAGGCGGCAGACTGTCACCACCCATGTGGCTAACACACGTTAGGAAAAAAACTGGAACAGAAGCAAAGGAGAGGGGGTGCTGCCTCTGGAGGAGACTAGGAAATCTTCAGAAGGATAGTCACAAACTTCTGTGTTGGGGCTTGGAGGATGAGAGGAGCTTGTTGGGTGTGAGGCCGTGTGGTGGGGTAGTTCTCATAAGGTGAAAGCAAGGGGCACAAACCACAGGCTCACTGTGCACAAAAGGTGCAATGTGATGATCTACATGAATTTGGAGAGGGAGAGATCGCTGCTGGTTAAGGGATCCTAGAAGGCTTCAGGAAAGTGGTGATCTCTGACTGGGGCTTGGATGGATGAGTGACATCTTGGGGAGGTGGGGGAGTGGTGAGGCCAAGGTTCTTCATGTCCTCTCTCTCTCTCCATTTTCTGAGTGCCTTCAGTGAGTGAGGACAGGAGCAGGCTTTGTCGGCCAGCAGCAGAAAAAAAAAAAAAAATTCTAGCATGAATCCTGGATTAGGTGAGATACCAGCAGCTCACACAGATGTCTCCACGGTGGGGCCACACCCTTGGGGAATCAGAAC